AGGATTGAAAGAAGCTATCTGATCCCACCCCAGCAGACCTTGGACCTGCAAGAGGTTCTACATCATGGAGCAGAAAGAGTCCCCCAAGTTCTCCACCCCTGGACTCCTGAAGAAGCTTACCCTCACCCAGATAACTGAAACTTCCCTGCCAGGGCTGGAGAAGGCTGGAGGCAATTTTCCTGCCTAGTAGTCAGTTAAGGGAGTTATGACAGTGGATTAGATCCTTTCCATCTTGGGACCCCTCACCTGGACTCCTGCAATCATGATCTAACTGCTTATTCTGTCTCTGTTCTCACCTCCGTTGAATCTCCACATTTCCACCAGAGTGATACTTCTCAAGTGCAATTCTGATCATGTTATTTTCCTGCTCAAAATTCTTCAGTGAGTCCCCATGGTTTTCAGGATAAAAATTCTTACAATTTTGCATGAAATGCAGGCTCCATCACACTTTGCCTCTCTGGCCAGTGCCCACTCCCTCCCCCTGGCATGAAGCCCATGCGATTTTCACCTCAGTCATACTAAGCAATGCGTGGTTTTCCAAACACTCAGCTCTCTCTTGCCTTGGGGTCTTTGTCTATGCTGTTCTCACCTCCTCCCTCCCCTTCAAACTCCTCCTCACCTTTTAAGTCTCCACTCTAGGACCATATCCTTTCAGAGAAGGCTTCTCTGTCTCCCAGGTAGACCAGGTACCTCACTTGTTGCCCCATTGGAACTTCTGTGTTCCCACCTAGGGTATCTCAAGGCAAGTCAGAATCACTGGTCTTCCTGATGGCATCTCCATTTGTAGATCAAGTCCTTGCAGTCAGGGCCATATTTTCTTGATTACTGTACCCTAATACCTAACACAGGACTGACCCCTAAATAGACGATTTAAATGTCACAGGGTTGAGACTAGAGTGAGGTGAGTGAACCCCCACAAAGGTGCAGAAATTTAAGGAAATGCTCTCAACATTGTGCAAGGCAGGCTGGCATGAACTGTTATCAGGGGATTTTCACCCCTGCTTTTTTGCTTGTCAGGTCACAGAAAGTCCTGGGTGGCTGAAAGGGCATCAGTGATTTGAGAGGCTGTGCTTTTCTGGAAGACCTCGACCTCTAGCTTCATGCAACATGGAAAAGCATCTTCCCTTTCACCAGAATTTGTATGGAAATCATCAACTTCTTGCATGTAGGGTAAGAAAGGGAAGATGTATCCCTACTTAAATGCACTATCACAAACTCCTGAGCTGATGGCTTCTACACTTAGCTAACGTAGACTCTATGAATATTGTCTTCGTCTACCATGGAAGACATTTCCAGCCATAGGTATTGCTATATTCAAGAGCTATCCACCTAGCTTTCTGTAATATGAAAAGATAGTTTCTAAAAGAGAACATTAACAGCTTCTTGAAAGGAGAGGAAAATACCACCAAAACTCTGATGCACTACCAGGGACATCACATAAAACCACTCAGATTCCTTACCACACAGCTCCAGGGAGCACCTTCCTATAGATTGCAGTGTCAATTGTGCCCCTGGATTTGTGCAATGTGGTGGCCATTTTCCCATGATCCCTCAGCTATACATGAACTCAGCCCAGCTTCCCTGTCACTAAACTCAAAACACTCAAAAACATACTTACCAGCATCCACAGTGAATGAGAAAGGGGAACAAACTCAGTGCTGGTGAGCTGGTTCCAGACGCCACCAAATGGTGAGCTTCTCTCACTTTCCAACTGAATGATCTTAAGCCAAATCTCTTTAATTTTCTCTTCTATGAATGTGAGGCTCCACGTTGGGCTCACAAAAGCACATTCTCCTGGGAGGTACCTGCAGAGGTAAGGAAGGGCAGCCCCTCTGAAGTAGGCTAGGCAGAGGGAGACTCTTGCCTCATGGGAGGCAGAAAGAAATTATGAAGGCTAATAAATGCATCAGAGAACCTGGGCACCTTAGGCTCATTTACTCCAATCCTTTCAGTTTTCAGACAAAATAACTGAATGGAGAAATGAAGAGAGTCCTGCCCAATATCATTGAATGAATTAGCAGCAAAGAAGGGCCCTATGTTGCCAGGCCAAGGCTTATTCAGATACGCAGCTGCTTTATTTTAGTGATAAAGTGGGTCTGGCTGACAGCTTTTGTAGATCTTTATTCAGAATCAAGTGGAAAAATTAGTCCCTGCTCATTGAAGATCCTCCTATTCCCAGAGTGAAGACTCCCTCCTTCTTAAAAGGGGCCAAGAGACAAGGAATGAAGCACCCTGTGTTGGCATCTACCTGAACTGCTGGCATAGAGCCCAGGAAGAGATGCATACCTTCTGGAGCCAAGCTTCCCTAAGTGAGCTCCAGGGGCCAATTGCACTGGAAAATCCCTGGGGCTTATTAAAATCTGGATTTCACAGATGTACCCCAGATCTACTAAATTAGAGCCTAGGGGTGGGAGGATACCACTAACAAGTGCCACATGGGATTTTCACACACTATAAAATTTGAGAACCAACACCCAGACATTATAGTGGTAAGAAGGAACCTAATGATTATCAGATATCTACTAAAGCACTGTGCTAGGCACCAGATAGATAGATAGATGATAGATAGATAGATAGATAGATAGATAGATAGATAGATAGATAGATACATACATACATACATACATACATAGATAGACAGAAGACAGACAGACAGACAGACAGATAGACATCCTTAGACGTGATAGGAAAGGCAGAAACAAGACATTATTTCTTTGCCACACTTAGAGAAGCTCTGCATCAGAGGGTATGCCTCTCCTCCTTGGTTCTATGCCAACAATTCAGGTAGATAACATCAGACGATGCTGGAAAGAGCTTTCCCCAGGGACAGGAAATTAGGACAATATTCTTGGGACCTTGGGTCATTGGATAGTGCTGAGAATGGCACCTAGAACCCACTACCTGAAAATCCTTCTCAAAGGGAGGGAATGCATCCTTGAACTTTCACTCAAGTTCCTACTCAGCCTTCAAGGCTCTGCCCAGAATTTCACTAATTAGGAATTTGCTGTATCTTTTCCCACCTAAATTTTACTTTCTCTTCTCAAAACTTTGTGTGTTTTAACACTCCTGCCACATTGTTGGCTCTGCCACTTACTGGTAATATGACCTCTGATAACTTGTTTTTATCACTATAAGCCTCAGTATTTATATATATAAATTGGAGATACTTCCAGAGTAGAAGCAAGTATTAGAGATAATTGTAAAAGCGCAATAAATGTTCAGTCTCTTCCCTACTTAACCCCATTTTCAGAATCACAAGCCTTTGTTTAAGAAAACTCAGTGGCTTTCGGGTCTCATTTGCTTCTCCATGACTCAAACTCTCTCAATTTAAGTTCTCATCACACCTCATTCATGTCTGCCTCTGGGCCTTTCCTCACGCTGTATCTTCTACCTAGGATGCCCTCATACTCTCATTCACCAATACAAATCCCAGCACGCTTAAAGTCTCTCTCAAGTTCTTCCTGCTGCCTTAGAGTACCTTCTCAAAGTCCAGGCCAACAGACTCTTCTGTCCCTTCTGCTCCTTCAGGCACTTTCCCTGCATTCTCCACTCTACCTCTGGTGGATGACAACATTAGTGTCATGGAGGTTGGTGATCTCTAGATACTGGGATTTTATGTACAAAATTTTTTACTTTTTTGAGGACCAGCATCAGGCTACCACCTTTTATTTTGCCAGGTGAGAATATATTATTAAATCTTGTCTTCTAGTGTTATCATCATATCACAAAACAACGATATTTTAACAAAATAAAAGTTGTGGGGGAAAAAAATCTCATACCAAAGCATTGTCCTTTAAATGGAATAAACTCCACTTCATAAAATGCTCACTGCATTGCAGGCTTTTTGCTCCTTTTGCCTTGGACTGATAAGAATATTATCAAAGGCCAGCTTCTGCAAAAATGCAGGGGAGTCCCCAGTCCACTCAATCACCTGTCCCTGCCCCTGGGCAACATAGTGACAATGTCCCCAACAGCTTTCACTTACTAAACAGTTGCTATGTGCTAGATCCTCTGCTAGGTGCTTCATACATTAGCTCACTAAATCTTTTTGCACAACCCCTTGAAAAATGGATTATTACCACCACCACTTTTAAGATGAGGCTCAGAAAATTTAAGTAACTGGCTCAGGTCACAGTAATGGTAAAGTGATTGATTGAGTTATGCTTACAGTACAAGACAGTTGGACCCCAAAACCTGCGCTCCTTCTTCTACTTCATTCCTTATCTCCTACAGCAGGAAGAAATTTTTGAATGCAGGAGCAAAAGGAGATATCCTTCTCTTTCTTTGTATAGTCCATACTCACAGCATGCATTAATTCATTGATTCAACCAATATTTATGAAGAACCAATGCTCTGGTAGGTGCTGTCCTAGGTGCTGAAACACAGAGTTAAGAAGGGTAGGCAGCAGTTTTGCCATCATAGAGGGTACACTATGACATGTATGCACATGCCAAATGGTGATCAAAAATGCAATGCCTTGTTGGCAACTCCTTGCTCAATTCCAAGGGCTTTTTAAATACCAAGGCAATAGCCAGGTGGGTACAGATGTTAAAATATGCCCTGGGCCCCTCTGGTCTCAGAAATTATCTGGGTTCTCGTATTCTGCCTGCCTTTGCTATGGAAATTGATGAGCCAAAGGCTCTTTTCAGACTGGCAAGCCCATGCGCTCCAACTCCACTTGATTTATTAGAAAAAGAAACTGAATTTTAAAAGGACAGATGCAGGATTGATTCTATACCTTAAAATATGCTTCCCTCACCTCCCTGCTTGGCCCCAGGTCCCCTGGCCCCCTGCCCCCCAAGCCCCCATTTGCTGCTGAGAAGATCACAGCAAATTTATCTCTCCAGTGACTAATTTCATCCCCTCAGACCCACTATGATCTTACACCTCTTCAAATCTGCTCTCCCCTTTATCAGAGTCCCAGTGACCTCCACCTGCCTTTTTCTGACATCCCCCAGGGCGACGGTCCAGATCACTCTCTATGCCATGGTTTCAGAGAGTGCAGCAGTTGTGGCTGCTGTGTTAATTTATTCAGCCCTTAATACCAAGCAGCTTCTCAACCAGCTCATTCCCAGCTGTCTGGTTCCTGCAGGACAATGTTCTGAACTCACTAACCTCACACCTCAGGCCTCTGAACCAGAGCCTCATCACATCACTGGCATACAGATCTCATCACAATCTGACAGAAGCTTCATAGCACTAGACCTGACAGAGCAGTCATAGCTGGAAGGGCCTTTACCAAGTCCACCAGTGCTATTCAATGAGAGCTCTACTGACATTTTAAGTGGAACGCCAAGGTAATGGGGTGTGTGATTTCTCCTTGTGTGGAGCTCCCTAGTATGGCATGGAGACTGAGTCATCCTTGTCTTTCTTTACTAAAAATAAATCCCAGGGACAGCCAAACATGGGCTCACACATTCCCAAATGCCCCTAGGAAAGATCCAGTTGAGAAGCACAGTACCTATTCTATTTATAAATGAAGTAACTTGTCCAAGGTCATTCGGTAATTCAGCTGCAGACCTGATGTTCTGATGGTCTGATGTTCTGATGTTCTGATAGTGGTGGAATAAAGTGAGATTCCACCACCACTTCTCTTTCTCAAGTGAAAAGCCCTTGAGTGAGAGAAAGAGCATTAACAGTACAGGTTTAAGAACATTCACCAGAACCAGTCCATGGGACTACCGAATCAAAGTGAAAATGAGTTGGAGCTTGTCAACTTCCAAGAGGCAGTTAATACAGTTTAAAGAGTATGTATGGGCTTTGGAATCAGATTAACATACATATTGGAAGTCCAGTACTGCATTTTATCATTTTATTAGCTATGTGACCTTGAGCAAGATATTTTGGCCTCAATGTCCTTATCTGTAGAGACTACAGTAGTTCTTGTCTTATATGGATGAAAAGGGAAGACATTAAGGTTTTCTCTTCCCTACTTCCATGGGGTCAGGAAGTCAGAAGCAGCTCAGTGACGTACTGTGGCTATGGAAATGGAGGGGAAGAAAAGGGAATGCCAGGAAGGAACTGTGGGCAGAAAATTCTAGGGGTGGTAATGGATCCTAGACAGCAGGACTGCACCAGCACACCCTCCAAATGAGATCATGTGCAGTGAGCAGAAGTGTTAAATCTTTTGGCTCTGGGGCCAGTGTCAGGATCAAGAGGCAACACAGTGGAGGCTTTGGGCAAAAGGCTATGAGGAAGAGTCAGCAGTGGACAACTGGAAGCCAGAGTGGCATTGGCCAGATGTACTGGTTAAACCAGTGAGAGGACAAGATTGCTGGGGTAGTGATGGCCTTCAGCTCCTTTAACTACAAGGCCACTTTTCTGTGTAGATAGAAAGTTCGTAGAGTTCAGAGCAGCTTCTGAGTCATTAGAAGTGCTTAAGTCCCACCCTTGTCCCTCATGTCCATTGTCATTGCATTGCACTAGGGGAGGGGTGAGTGAGGGAGAGGGAGCTGGTCTGGCCCGGTAGGCACCCTATGGGAGCCACCTTGTTTTTCATCTCTGAGTAAGGCTTTGGAAAGAGACTCAAGTGTGATGCCTGACTTCTAGAGGCAGTAAAGGGAGGGTAGAAATTAGACCCTCCCTTTCCCTGTTCATATAATTTGCCTCACTTTAGCTTTTAAAATAAATTTTTATTATGCAATATTTGAAACATATAAATAATAATACAACTGGCAGCCATCCACCTACCACCCAGATTAGGAAATACAGCTGAAGCCCTTCATGGTTCTCTCTATGACAATACTCTCCCCATCCTCTAGAAATCATCATGATCTAGAATTTGGGCTTTATTGTTCCCACAAATGACTTTATACTTTTATTACATATTTATTTATCCATGAACAACAATAAGAATTCTTTTGCATGTTTTCAAACTTTATATCGATGGTATCATAAAATATGCATATCTGACTGAAGCTTGTTCTTTTTTTCCCCCTTCAACGTTAGGTTTGTGTGATTTATCTGTGTTGACATATGTAGCTCTGGTTTATTACTTTGCTCTGCTGAAACGTTTATTATTTCAGAATGCCACAATTTATTTATTGATTCTTCTTAATACATAATAGAAGCTTGATTTTTCCCAAAGTTTTTCTCTTACAAAATGCTGCTGGGAACATTCTCCAGCCCAAGTCCACACACACATGAGGAGATAATGCCTTTTGACCCATCCCTAACTCCTTTACCTTCTTTTCTAGCTCACATCTTTCCCTCACCCTGCACCTAAGCCACTCTGTTTGGGCTCCATGCTTAGATGCCTATGGCCTAAGCAGTCTCTTCTTTCCCTGAACTGATCTGGGAATTGCCAACTTGACTTTGTCTTTGGGAGCTTTTCCAGGGATTCATATTTCTGCCCTCCAGTCTCAGACAAGTGACCCACCCCAAGCTCCACTAAGTCCTATGTGACTTGCCCTGGCTGTGCAAGCTCCTTCCTGGCTCCCACCTGACCAGACTATAAACTCCAAAAGACAGCAATTGGGACTGACTTGTTTCATGCTGCAGCTCCAGTTCAGGCACAGGACCTGATACACTTTGAATATTTGTTGGCTGGATGAATGCATGAATTAATGTTCTATGGAGAAGGGATGTCAGATAATCAGGATTATGGATGCACTTAACTTGCAATTATCTCTACCTGGATGTCACCAGGCCCCCACCATGGGTCCTTAGCTATTCTAGTAAGCTAAGGTCCACTCACGTGGACCCTGGGCCTTTTGCAAACTAAGAGCACTCATCACTTAGTGACATCTTCCCAGATAGGCAAAGACATCCAGTCTGTCCCATACAGGATAAACCCTAGGGCCCCCGGTCATTTGGGGGCATATGAGAAGAACCACTTACCATTGGTTGGTCTGAGGTACTCCTAATGGTGAACCCCTGGAGCACTTACCCTGTGGAAGGCAGTGGTCCCCTTTCTCTGGCAAGATTGCCTTTTAATACAGAGAAAATGCTACAGGGGAAGCACCTGATAGCAGAGCCATGCCTGAAAGCAGATATTGACAAGACGAAGAAGAAGGAACTACAAAGGGCCTTAGACAAACAAGTAATAAAGAAAGAAACATTCTGGTAATTGTGTGGAGGTGGGTGGGACTGAGATGCAAACATGGGAAACTAGGGGTACTCTAGTCAAATAGCAAATCACAGTAGGACAAAAACCACAGGATAAGGATAAAAAGGATTTACAATCAGTCCCTTACTAATCTGAGATATCCCTTACTAATCTGAGATATCCCTTCCACAGCCCCTTACTAATCTGAGACCTTGGTTAGGTCATTTAGCCTTGTGTAATAACAGAAAACTACTATGTGTCCACTACAACCTGTGACTCTAGGCATCATATGGCATTTTCTAATTGAATCAGAGCATCAACTCAGGGTGCTCAAACTCAGACCCCACAGCCAGGCAGGCTGCATCCCAAGCAGATACATCTAACTGCTGCACGACGCTGACTCCTCACTGGATTGTGATCCAATGTGGTTCTTAACAACATCCATGTTAGACAGATGAGGATGATACATGGGAAACCAAGGCACACAGTTACACAGTTAGTGAGGATGCTGCAATTCAAACCCAGGGTGTTCAACTGGGGTTCCACAGCACAGTCACTTTGAAGATCATGAAGCAATTGCTCCAGAAAAGGTTCTCTAGCTCAACCTTGTAAATTATCTCCATGAGATAAGTCCAAGCCCATCTCACAGGAATTTCTCCACTGAATCCACTTTAAGAACACATTCAAAGAAGTTATGGTGTCAATGACCTCATGCATTAGTAAATTTATTTTATAAATATTAAACCCCTACTGCATGCAAAGAACTGTTCTAGGCTTCACAAATACGGGGAATGAAAACCCATAAAGTCCCTCCTTTTGAGATGCTCATGCTGGAATGTGCAAAGGTCCATAGCTCAATATAATACCAAGAAATTTAGCAACAATATGCATTAGGAACAATGAAAAAATTGTCAGGAGGAAAGCACATCTGATTATTCAGGGTGGCAGGTGTGGCCTATGTGATGTGGCCTGAAGCAACTCATAACTCATGTCCCACCCCTGGGTCTTCAGTTTCTCTGTATATAAAATGGAAACATTAAACAGGATGATCACTTGAGTTCTTACAGTCCCATTGTTCTCTGGATCCTATTTCAGGGCTTTTATATCAGTAGCAATCAAACCCTGGGAGACCATCAGAGGCTGGGGGTTAAGACACAGCCAGGTGAACAGAGCTCTGGAGCCCCAGGTGGGCACAGTGGGTCAGCGTGGCTTGGACTAGGGGGGCTCGTGCTGTCAGTCTCTTCAGAACAAGCCTACTCTTGGCCTTTTTGCAGGCACCTGAGGTATAAAGCTGGCAGTGCCATCAAAGGCAGGCTGGTGGCTGCAATATGAAAGGATTGTATTCCCTCTTATTGATAAATAAATTCTTTTTCTCCTTAATAGCCAAGCTGGTGGGTTTTATTATAAGTGGTTTGCACTTAGTGGAGAGCCAGGACTGGCAATGCTGCATCTTTCATCTCCAAATATTAATTAATTTCCATGATGCTTTTTTTAATCATGAAAAAACGAGATTGGTGGCAATCAGCCAAGGGAAGAGTTGGGGAGAAGAAGGCAAATGATATATAAAGTTAGAAAAAAAAAAAGCACAGATAAGGTGGAGGGAGGCAGTTAGAGATGGGGAGAGTTCATAAGACAGAAAGTGAAGGGTGGTAGGAAAGGAAACTGATATTTTACAAACACCTACTACATGGGGCCTTACTAGGTTCCTTGCCTATATTATTTCAATCAACCCTGAAACCAATTTGTATTACTATACTCATTTTATAAATGAGCAAATTGAAGCTCAGAAAAAGTCGATGACTTTCCTAAGATCAAAATATAATAAATAAAAAATACAGAATTTTAACACTAGATTTTATAGCTCAGAAAAAGTAGATGACTTTCCTAAGATCAAAATGTAATAAATAAAAAATGCAGAATTTTAACACTAGCCCTCTGACTTCATGTCTCAACCTCTCTCAACAACATCCATTCAACCTTCAACAAATATTTATCCAGTAAGGATTGTGCCTCAGGCATAGTACCAGGCACAGTACAGCCTCCAGCCCTAACAAACACACAGAAGGGTATTTCAATCAATCTTGGTATATCTGGAAGGCCTCCCAGAGGAGGTGATTTCTAAGCTGTGACTTGAAGGATATAGAGGAGTTAGCCTAGGAAAGGAGACTGGAGGAGAAAGGACATAAGGTAGAGCATGAGTTAAAGGTTAGAGGTGAGGGTTTAGGATCCATTAAAGTAACTACAAAAAGC